CCGTGGAATTTTGGCTTTGGGGATGAGAGGCGTAGGTATTGGAAGTTTGTACGATTTTGAGCATGGTGGAAGCGTCCATGGTGTCGCGGAGATTAATCGAACGAAATCTCGAAAATTTAAAGGATGATCGTGGAATTTAATAATATCTTTCGATGTAATAATCTCGTTGAGAATTTTATTCCAATTAGAATATATTTCGCAGAAGTTCGTTTCGTAGGAAATTAAGTCAACGAGAGTGGATGATGATGAGTTAGAGTAGAAGAAAGATTCTTTGATAATTTTTGTCAATTTGCCAGAACGATTATTACGATATCGCGGATCAAAGCGCATTTGTACAGAGTTATTTCGTACAGCGTTCGCACGTGTCGCGACTCGAATCTCGGAGCAGACTTTTAAAAACTGGGACACCATTGTATCATCCGAGCTCCTGTTGCACTTGTAGCTACTTAACCGCGGCGTGTTCAGACAATCCAGGCGAACTGTCTCGTGTTCCCACGAGCCCTCTCCTCAAGATCCTCTCGAAACTACTCGTGCCAGCCTCGATTAGCCTCTATCCACGCGAACCATCATCCTCCCAACGTCCAAAATAACGATCTTTCCCATCGTCGTCTTCGAAACGAAATTCCCTCTATATTTATCCAAAAAGTAAATCATAACACTATGCATTTCCTTCCGAAATCTTTAAAAGATTTCTTCATTGTTGGGTGATAATTAATGGAAATCGTCCAAGGGAAATCTCCAACGAAATTTCCGCCATATTTGTTCCAAAAAAAAATAAATTATAACACTCTGCATTTCCTTTCAAAATCTTTAAAAGACTTGTTCGTGTCGGGCGATAATTAAGCACGCTTATAAAAGTATTCGTCAATTTGACGACTTCCTCGACGAAATTCCCTCCTAATATTTATCCAAAAAACGTTTCGATAATTTCCTCTCAAAAATCTTTAGAAAGATTTCTTCGTGTCATTAATTGGACACGCATTCTCACCGGGATCTCAATTCGACGACCAAGTCATCGCATCCACGAGCTTCCTCGACGATCGAAACCTGGAAATCGTGTTTCTCCCGATCGATCGAATCCTCTCGACGCCAGTCCTCAACTGGTCGAAGCTCCCGATCGGCTCCCGGTTTCGACGTCCCTCGGTGTCCATCTCCGTCTTCCGAGTCTCGAGCGTGGCCGGTAGCTCGAGCAACGCGTCTACTCGCGTAGCATATTATTAGCAAGCATCCCTCCCCGATCGACCCTGTAGGCTACCGTGCGCCGCCATCCGTCTCCTTTCCACTCCTTCCCTCCCTCCCCCCCCTTCCCCTCCATCCCTTCTTTCGAACGTCGACCAAGATCGAAGTCGAAGAAATAGATAAATAGATAAACGGACGGACGGGCAGGTAGAGTCGAAAGAGCGAGGAGGAGAAGGAGGGGAAACGGTGGAGGAAATGGGAAGAGGGAGGGAGGGAGGGAGAGAGAGAGAAGCGTTTAACGCGTAGGTGCCACGAAGAGGCCGATTCTGTGCTGTGCACACGTGCAACCGTGGAAGCACGGCTCCGGTTGCCGTGGGTTCAAGAGGCGGGGGAAGCGCGGGGAGGGCGGGGAGGTTTATTGTTGATCGCTAATTATCTTAGCCGGCAATTACGTACAATTATCCGACACGCAGTCCGCGGTGCCTGTGCGGCGTTTCGCGATATTGCGCGTGTACGCAGCGAGCTCTCTCTCTCTCTCGCCGATGTGTGCGCGCATGCGTGCGTGCGTGCGTGTCTGCTGCGCCCGTGGAGAGCGCTGCCCGCGGAGGGGGGGAGAGAGAAACCGGTGTACCCGACAGCGTGACGCCGACCGTAGATGCTCTTTCTCCTTTTTTCTCGCCTCTCCCTCTTCCTTCGCCTTTCGTTCGGCTTCCCCGAGCCTTCCCCCTCCCTTTCCTCTCCATTCTCCTCGCAAAGCGTGCCTCCCCATCTCTCTCTCTCACCCTCCATCTTCCTTTCTCTCTGTCTCTGTCCAGAGATCGCGCGCTCGCATCACGGGATCATTCGCTGCGAGGTTGTGCAGCGGCCGCTATCACGGCTCGATCTGCTCGCGGGCTTTATCTCGAACGCGACGAACGCTTGGCACCAACTTGGTAGCGAGGGTAGCCGTCCATCGAGAATGTTCGATCATCGCGAGATCCGTCGGAACGACTAAGAGAGGGGGAAGGAGGATGGTTTCGATAATTCGTATATATATATATATAGGTATTGTTTCGATTGTTTGGTCTCGTTGAAACGAAGGATCGATTAATCATCTGTTTCGCGATGACGAGTTGTTGTTCGCTCGCAACTCTTGCGCAAAATTTGCGGTTTCATTCCCTCCCCCTCCTGGATAATACAACAGTTGATATTATAAGCGTTTCCAGATTTCTCGCGTCCTTCTCTCTCGAACGAAACGAAACGAGACGAGATATTTCTCGGGTATCAATCACTTTCGTCATCCTCCACGGCGACACTCTCGAACGAGTCGCGTCCACACGTCGGTTCCTCTTTCGCTCCGTTCTTTCCTTTCCGCAAAAATATCTTGTTCCCTTCTTCGCGGCTCCTGCCGCGAGCTTCGCCTCGCATTAACGTTTTTCGCCTCGTATCCCTCCCCCCTCGATCGATCCCTGCCGCTCGATTAGCTTTCTTCGACCGGAGGAATCATTATGATCGGCTGGGTTTCGTCGCGGCGGCGTGACGTATCGAGAGGCGCGTGACGACTCGGTGTAACGGTGCCTCGCCAGCTTCGAACCTCGTGTCACGTATACGCGTCACGCGTACGCTCCTCGATTGTCTTTCCTTTCAAGGAACGCGCCGCTCTTCCCTTCGCGGCGACCAAGGGCTTAAAGGAAGCTAAAGGGATTCGCGGGAATTCGGATTTCCAAACCGAAGCTCGTTGAGACCAGCGCGGGAAACGAGACGCAACGCTCGAGACGAGGTGAGTCGTCCAAGGGAAGGAATCGAAGGGGAAGTTGGTCCTTATTTTTCGCGGTGGGAACCGTGCACACCAACCGTCGAACTCGGGATGTTTCGTTTGATTTATTAACGAGTTAACTCGATTTAGTATTCGGATCGGAGCTCGAGTTACGATGCACGGTTGAGGAAGCGGACAATTACGTGACATAGGATACGACGTGATGGGTTTTCGTGATCGATCCGCTTCTTCGATTCGGATGTGTTCGGGCTAATGGTGGTCATCCTTCTGTCCCGCCTGTTGCAAACTGTTCCTTAATCCGTTTCTTCGATTCTTCGTGAGTAAGAGTAAGTTGCGAGCGAGACGGTAATATATTTTGGCCATCGAAAGAAGATGTTGTATTTAAATGTATCGATATTTGGAGAGTAAACGAGAGTCGAAATATCAACGATTACTCGATTAACGGGATTTTTGTACAACTTCACTTCGAATTCCTCTCGAGTAATTACAAAGATACCATTGAAAATATATAATGCGATGCACTTCGAGTCGAGGGCGAAAGATAGCACTCCACTTTGCATTATCATCGAAGAGAAGGAAGTTTAAAACATCCGATCCGAAAATTTTCCTCCTCGAATATTCCTCTTAAGTAGCATCGCCACTCTTAATATCGTACGATAATGCGCGGTACGGATCGAATCGTGGCTCGAAAGCGCGTCTTTCTCCCGATTCGCGGTCCAACGATTCGACATCATCATCAAGTTGAAACTTCTCGATGGCTTTACGAGCTTCATTATCCTAATGCAGTGGCCCGGTGGAAACAGGATTTCACGATGCACCGGTAAACCGAGGGTCAACGATGCACGGGGATAATCCTCGATGCAATCCACTTTGGCCGCCATTGCACAGCCAGAGGTTCGACAGACTTGGAGAGTTTGGAGAAATGGAGTACGCGCCGCGTACGGAACAAGAAGAAAAGAGCGAATTTCCGTGGAAACTCGCTAATAAGATACTCGAACGTTTTCAGATGTCAAAGGAATGCAAAGTGACCGAGTCTCTTTCGATTCCTCTTCGAGTGTTCGCGCGATGTGGATTTCTGTTTTTTTCGTTATATATCCATTCCTCTCCTCGAGACGAGAGGAGGAAACTTTTATAGAAATTTTCTATAGAACGGAATGGAAAGTAAACGGTATGAAGGTGATCCAGTCGAGAGAAGAGCGGAAGAATGGATACGAGTGGAGGAGGATCGAGGGGGGATGCTTTTGGAAAGTCCAATGATGCGCTTCTAGGAGGATGCGTTCGAGGAGTGGTTCGCCGTTATGGTCACTGGTGGATGTTAAAAGGTGGTTTTGGCGGTTGAAAACGGTTCCCTCCCGATGGAATATGGCCGGGCGAATTCCCCGCGCTCGGTGTATGACTCGCAGGGTAAACAGCGGAGAGAAGAAACAGACGGGGAAAAAGGAGGAGGTGCGAGGAAAGATATACAGAAAGAAATACATGGACGTTTGTATAAACATCGTTTAACGTCGCTAAAGGCTGAGTCGGAAAGGAAAGAAACGCGGGAAAGGGGATCGTTCGTGAATATTCGAGAGGAATTCCATTTAATTTTACCGCTAAAATTACGAACGCGCAACAAACACTCGAATTACGCGTGAATTTGTTATTCGCGATTAATTGCCATTAATCTTTCGACTTGACGCATCGAAGAAGAAAAATCGTAGCAGAAAAGATTCAATTCTTTTTCGAAGAGAGATAACAACCCTAAAAAATTTACAGGATATTTATATAAAAAAAAGGGAGGGGAGAGAATTTAATTTTATTCTATACGAATCGAATTCAATGAATGAAAAGATGCACGCGTACGAATATCCTCTTTTCCTCCATCCCTGTCCTCCATCAACGTTTCGCGTGCAACCAACAACAGTCATCCCCCCCATATGTCTCTCTCCGTTTCATCGCACACAGGCGTTACAAAGAAACGCAACGGAGAGAGGATGAGCCGGCGCCACCGGAGAGCTAATTACCGCCTCTGTTTTGTAACCTAAGCGGCTCAGGGCGTATACCTGTATCCTCGACTTACCTCGACCTGCGTTCGCCATAACCGAGGGGCATAAGCGGCAGCCACGATCCGCGCCATTGTGTTCCATACGCTCGATCCTCCTCCTCCAGCCTCTTCCTCTCCCTTCTCCTCCTTGCTCTGCTCCGTGGATCGTGTTCGCAGGAAATCGCGAAATGGATCCCATTTCGCGCAACCCGAAGGGCACGGAAGTCGCCTCGTCTGAAGGTGGTGGAACATGGGCGCCGAGTTTGCTCTAGACGTCGATTCTGTTGTTTCTAGGGAGAAATCCTCCTCCCCTTTTCTCGGGTTTCCCTACGATTCGAACACGGAATAGGAAACGCGAGGAAACGCGTGGCTTATCGTTTTGGAAGGTTGGATTTCGTAGGGGATGTCGCGGTTATCCACGTCGAGTGGAAAGGATCGTTCTTCTCGAGTTTGATATTTTACGGATATATTGGATCGTTTGGAACGAATGACTGCAAATGCAGATACGATTGAATTACGTCGTATCGCCATCGAGGCGATTGCGAATAAAGCGACGAGTCCATAACAAGCGTGACGAGATCAATTTTCCTCACGGTTCATTACGGTAGAGAAAGGGGAGTATCGAGGCGCAACCGATGGAAATAAGGGAACGACGTCTTCCTAAGGAAGAAAAGAAAAGAAAAAAAAGAAGAAGAAGGAAGTGTTCCCGATCTCGTGAACAGCTTCGTAGATTCTCCCGTTTCTAGAGGGTTAATTGTTACGACGTAATGTCGCGGTCGTTAGGTGATATTTTTTTCTCCTTATTGCGTTGGGGTTATAATTGAGGCTCCAGAGAGAGAGAGAGAGAGAGAGAGAGAGAGAGAGAGAGAA